GGACGCGATTAGGACAGCCGCCGTCGAAATAGATTCTACAGTTACTCCCGTTTCTTACTCTGCTTGGGCAGAAACTGTAGTTGTTATTAAGAAGGCCAACGGCACGATACGTATATGTGCTAACTTTTCAACAGGTCTCAATGCAGCTCTGGAACAGCATCATTATCCTCTACCAGTTCCCGCAGATCTCTTTACTGTGCTGAATGTGGGAATGTTGTTCGCAAAGCTTATATGCTTATTTGCAAGTGGAAGTAGATGAAGCATCAAGAGGGCTGCTTACTTTCAATACTTATCGTGGTTTGTTCCAGTACAACCGTCTGCCTTTTGCAGTTAAGACTGCCCCATCTATCTTCCAGCAGTTAATGGATACTATCCTATGAGATGTCTGAGGGGTCGCAGCATATATCGATGATATTTTAATTGTCGCGAAGACATTAGAACAGCTACGGGAACGCACGACATTGGTACTACAACGCATCATTTGTTAAGTTATAATTTACTCTTGCAGTCCGCTTTTAACTCGCAAGGAGTAGGTTCATACGCGTCCCGCCCAGTCCAAGTCCAAAAACGATAATTCTGGGAGAGAACGGTTCAAAACAATATTACACCGAGTTTCCAATTACCACAGTAGGTTCCGTTGCTGGAAGAATGAGTGCTTCCAGTCCGTTACTACTATAGTATCAAATCCAAATATGGCTGTAGCCATATTAAGTATCAAATTTAAACAACATATACATAGTTCAGAATGAAACATAAAAACTTCGATATAAGCACAAGATATAGAAATACCAACAACATACAAATGATAAAATCTCAAAATGGGATGAAATAGAGTACCAAAATAGCAAACAGAAGAGTTGACCATATCATAACACAAATATATATAGACGGAGATATTTTCCAAAAACAAAACCTTCAAAATAGATTCTACATCAGTGACAACGGTTTCTTGCTGCACCCAGAAAAATGCCAGTTTTTATTGCAGTCGGTAAAGTATTTGGGATTCAGCTTTAATGCCGACGGCCGCAAACCGGATCCTGAGAACATCCGAGCTATCAAACTGATGCCCACTCCCACTAATGTCTCAGAATTACGATCTTTTCTCAGATTAATCAGCTATTATTCGGCGTTTGTTCCCTCGATGCATGATATTCTCGCTTCACTGAACTGTCTTTTGGCAGAAGAACAGCACTTAAAAT